CTGAAATTCTTTGGGGCATAGTGTTAACCAAGTTTTGGCAAAAATTTGGTGTAAAACTATCCCACATTTTTTGAAGCTTTTGTCTCAGTTCGGTGATTGTACGAGTAGGATGTTGTCGTAGTACCTTTTTATCTCGTGCCACAAAGTTTCAATAGGTGACAGATCTGGACTGCTAGAAACCCATTTCAAAAGTGGTACATTATTTTCTTCCATCCATTTTATAGCCTTTTTTGAGTTATGGCACGCTGCACCATCTTGCTGAAACACAAAATCTTGGCCGGATGTCAAACATTCTTCCATCACTGGTAAAAGCGATTCTTCTAAAATTGCAAAATATACCTTTTGATGACCTACTGCCCCAGACCATAATGGATGCTGGAAATTTCACTTTTCTCTCAGTCAGACAACATGGAATGCTTAATTTTTTTTGTGAATAACTCTACTGCGACTGTCACCAACACAAACTTCGAATCGGGCCTCATCACTCCATTTTATTGCACACCATTGTTGAGGTGTCCATTGTCTATGTTCTTTAGCCCATCTAAGCCGACTTTTCTTTTGCAGTGGAGTTCATAGTGGCTTTTCTTTGGCCTATAAACAAGTTGTTCAACTTTCTCTCTGGTTGTGGACCTCGAAATTCCTCCTTAGCACTTAATTGTAAATAATTGGCACGCACGATTATTCTTCTTAATGCTCTCGGTCGGCATTTGTGATATTACTTTTTTTCACATATAGTGGCCTTAATATTAACTGAACCAGTTACGTTAATCTTCTAAAAATATTTCTCACACTGTAACCGCGATAAGTCTAAAAAAGTTGCAATTCCTCAGTTTGATTTCCCGGAATTAAAAAAATTAATTATCAGTAACCGAATTTTCTCACTAATAACCTTTCCTCTACCCATTTTGAAAACCTTAACTACCCAAAATTATTTAAAACGTATTCTGACAACTGTGATTAATAAAAACAATTGTCATGGCTTCTATTTTCACAGCGACCTATGCGTTTATAGACTTATTTTGCATTGAAATGAAAACAGGTTTATATTCTGTAATTGCAACATGTGTTATTTTATGCTGCAAATTTGTTTCTACTACATATACTAAGTGACATATAAACCCGAACACCCAGTTTAAATGGTTTTATTTTAATAAAATTTTGTATAAGTACTTAATGAAGCATAATAAGTAATGATAAAAATTTCAAAATGATTGCACTGCTTTAAAGCCCTTTGACCTTTAATAATGTGTGGATGCACCCTGATGTGCTACGCATTCTCAACGCGCCTAGGCATGCTTCTGATCAGGTGGACAATGTCCTCCTGTGGTATCTCATTCCAGGCAACCGCCAACTCCTCTCGAAGTGCTTCTAGAGTCTGAGGAGGACGTTGCAAATTGAGCAATCTCCTACCCATCATATCCCACACGTGCTCAATTGGGGATAAGCCGGGAGATCTTGGTGGCCATGGTAACAATGTGACATCATTAGGTTGAAAAAAGTCTATTGTGACTCTTGCAACATGTGGTCGGGCATTATCTTGTTGGAAAGTTGGATCTGCCAGGGTAAAGATGGGGTTCTAGAACTTCGTGGATATAACGCTGCGCGTTCATGTTACCTCTGATGAAAATTAAAGGTGAACTAAAACCATAAGCTATAGCACCCCAAACCATAACTCCAATAGTGTGATGAACATGTCTTTCAACAAAAAACTGTGGATTCCTCCTTTCACCACGTCGCCTTCTAACCTTGGCACGACCATCGTGCATGCCTAAACAAAATCGAGACTCGTCACTAAGACAATACTGTTCCATTCCTGATCCCAGAGTGACCGTTGTCTGCACCACTCAAGGCGATTACGTCGGTGTCAGGGTTAGAAGGCGACGTGGTGAAAGGAGGAATCCACAGTTTTTTGTTGAAAGACATGATCATCACACTGTTGGGGTTATGGTTTGGGGTGAGCTTATGGTTCCAGTTCACCTTTAATCTTCATCAGAGGTAACATGAACGCGCAGCGTTATATCCACGAAGTTCTAGAACCCCATCTTTACCCTATCTTGACACCCTGGCAGATCCATTTTTCCAACAAGATAATGCCGGACCACATGTTACAAGAGTCACAATAGACTTCTTTCAACATAATGATGTCACATTGTTACCATGGCCACCAAGATCTGTCGACTTATCCCCAATTGAGCACGTGTGGGATATGATGTGTAGGAGATTGCTCAATTTGCAACGTCCTCCTCAGACTCTAGAAGCACTTCGAGAGGAGTTGGTGGTTGCCTGGAATGAGATACCACAGGAGGACATCGACCACCTGATCAGAAGCATGCCTAGGCGCGTTCGAGAATTCGTAGCACATCAGGGTGCATCCACACATTATTAAAGGTCAAAGGGCTTTAAGCAGTGCAATCATTTTGAAATTTTTTATCATTTACTTATTATGGTTCATTAAGTACTTATACAAATTTTATTAAAATAAACCATTTAAACTGGGTGTTCTTAGTATACTTTTGTGTTTGCGACTTTTAAGCGGTGCTGCAAACCCTTCCAGAAAACAGTCAGAGAAAATTTGTGTGAAACGAATATGGAGATTGTAAATTGTATCCTGCTTATTTTGAGTAGGAAAATGGACCTTTGGCGTCAACTTCAAACCTAAATTTCAATTCATGTAATTAATCGGAATTTATGTTGTTGAAAAATTTACTTCCTTCTACCTTTATAACAGGAAACTGTTCCTTTAGACCCTAAATTTCAATTAATTACAAGAAAGTTATATAAAAATGGCCATTAGAAGAATACTTTTCTATACAAAATTTCTATTTTCATTCTGTGACCCACCAGCATTGCCGTGCTAAGCACAATGGGGTTATCTGCAATTTTCGGACATACTTGGTTATTGATACTTAGTTAATCAGTGTCATTTTCTCTACTCATTGGAAATGTCTTTTGGCTTTAACATAAGATGCCTTTCTCATCCTTTTTCTCGGTATCATGATAGCCTAGCTGCAAATACCCTCCTGTGCTCATAACCGCAGAAGAAACCTAAGTATACGAGGAATTACCCAAAAATAACCGGAATAGCATTGCAATGGTCGGAGCTTGTGTAGTACACATTTCTGCCAATAGGGGCGTAACAGCGCAACTCATGAGCAGTTCATGAGTTGTCGATGAGGTTAGTTTGTGAAAAAGTTGAAGATAAATAGCTTTTAAAAAATAATTCCGTTTTTTGTGGCGACCCCCCTCGTACTTTGGTAATTTGAGACGAGGTTTTCAAGAATGACCATGCAAACAACGGTGTCACGGTCCCATTTTTGGAATTTAAAATTTTTATTAAGCATTTTCCCAATACAAAGCTCCATTACTAACCCCGTGACCATAAATGAACGGAACTCAATACAATAGGGCAATTTGAGACGCTGATTTTACAAAGGGACACAAACATTTGTTAGTGCCATGAAATCTTAATTTGGTCGAGAAAGGATACTAAATATATAAGTAGACTGTGCAACATCAAGACCTGTTGAATGTAGAATGAAGGCTATATAATAAAAAAAGGAATCAAGCTTCAGCGAACGTGTATGGGAATAAGGGAATATGGTAGAATGGGAGTAAGTCTTAATGTTGCACATAGTATAACAATTACAAAAGGATGGTAAAGGAGTCAGCGCATATAATATTAGACAATAATTTCTGTTCAGTCCCTCTGAAAATTATGGCCGATTTGTTTAGAAAGTCTTATTGATATTCTCCAAACCTACTGATCGACCATAAGGTTTTTAGTTTCCAGTTCGTTGTTATGGATTGTTATTGGATCCTGAATGCACAGTTGTTTTATTTTGCCGTCTAAAGGCCAAACTGTCGAGTCTTACATTATTACTACCCTTGAGGTATCGAAGTACTACTAGTTTAATAGTCGAAGATTGCAGCACAGTCAACCGGTCCCCACAACAGTTCTGGGTGGGCTTCAGCGTTCTCAGGGACGTTTGGCGTTTTTCGGGACGATGAACGGGGGTAACCTGTCTAGTTCACCCAAAACAATAGATATCCTTATGCTCGCTTGTCGCTTGGGGGAGTCTGGCCCACCCTTTAGGAGCGACAATGTCTACCTAGACGGCTTTGCTGGTTTTACGCAGTGTTGTCAAATAATTGGAATGATAGAGCTTTCAGGCTGTTATCGCAACCCGCTGTATATTAGCGAAAACGTCACCTGGAAGACATAAATATGAAATGTATTGTAATTGATATTTATTTGTAAGCTTTGAAAATGTCCACCGTGGTGACCGGAACATCAGTTTAAAATGATTTATGCAAATGAAGTTTGAATTGTACTGTCTACAATACCAGGAGTAACTCACAAACATATATATATATATACCACCCGAAATGCAACTTTGAAGTTCTATAAATAGCAAGCGTCGGGTTCCTTGAAGGAAAAATGATATTTCGTACAATCTACATCTTAATCTTTCATGTTAAAATAAGAAATGAAATATTTGCGATATGCGCTAGAGTTTACTTCAGCCATATACAGGGTGCTAATAAAGTATGTAGTCAAACTTTAACAGTTGGTATAACCTATGATAAATTTTCATGTTTTACAAGTTGCTGAGGCTCAATATGAACGTGGATGACAATAGTATTATCCTGTATTTTTGGAAAAAAAATTATTTAGAAGGTCAAATTAAAAGTAGTGCTGTAACAGTTGCCTTTATTGCCGATGAATCATATATTTTTGTTGTTGTTGTTGTGTCGCATAGGTTTAATTTGAAGTAATGCAGCAAGAACTTGAGAAGGAAGAAACAAAAGCCGATAATCTAATCTAATAATCTCCGTAGCATATTATTTTTATTCATAGTATATTATTAAATCAATTTTATTGACAAAAATGACTAGACCGGCCCATTGGCCATTTCCCAAGATAGGGCTTGTTTTTAACAGTGTATTTAGCTATATTTTTCTCACGTAATTCATAACCAAAATAAATAACACGCAGACATTTACCTATTATCATGTTTATTTAAAATAACAAACATAGCACATGAATACCACGGAAAAACTATAATTTTTAATTTGTATCCGTTGTTTTTCTTCTGTAGTCGTTTGGCTGCCTGTATATAGTAGTCAGCATCTTTCATGTCACTGAACAATTTGGAACTGAAACCAAATATTTCTCAATCAATTAAACATAATCCATCCTGATCTATTTTATAATCCAAAAATTCAATTATTAAATTAACGTACAGCAATCGCACTCCATTTTGATCATCTTTACAGTTTTCTACCACTAAGTTATAAATATGAATGTAGTCAATTTTCCATGCATTCAGGTAATTAATTGAAGAATTTACTCACCCTGATATGGACAATTTCTTCTTGTGTTGCCTAGTAATTCCCTGGTTCACCATGAGTAATAATTTTAGTATTCATCTCCACATATTTTCATAATAACTCGGTTGCTTTGATCCATGCTAGATCTTCCACCGTCAAGAAATCAATTCAATCTCGAAATTTTCGCCTCGGAGACTTGTTCACATCCCAACAACAATCGGTTTGTCACTCCGGAGCTAAAAATAAATAAATAAATAAATGTACATCTATAAATTGATATCACCTTCTGAATTGAAAACTATTTGTGTTGCATAAATATTATTACTCACCTATTGAACTATATATTTCTTTTATAGTCAGATGAATTTATTATTGTTTTCTGAAATCTTCCAAAGGCAAAGGCTGATGTCGCTGATGTCGAGGTACTATTCTGCGTACGGAACTACTTGCACACCTCGCTTGTTCCGCATAGTGCCAATTTTATTTCAGTATTTCCTTATGTTTATTAATCAATCAAATTTATATGCAGATATGACAGTGTTGCCACATTTATTCACGATATTCCTTGAATTTATATTAGGAACCTTCTCATTTTGGGATTAGCCGACAATGTTGGCTCTTAATGGTCAGGCGTACAACTATATTTGGAAATGTCAAGTCGAAAAAATTAAATTTTGGGAGAGGACTTCCTTCCACTGTCGGAGGGACATCTTGTTCTTTTCCGCTAGTGCCAGAAGACCTGAAATTTTCCTCTTTTTTTGCCTGGGGCATGTTCGTTGGATTGAGGAAGAAAATTTCATAGATAATTACCTGGGTCATTCCTGTTGTGAGTGCCTTGCATCTTTTTTATTTTTCGTCTACCCTTGGACCCGAGAAATTCTACAATTTCTAGGATCTTATTGTCTTCAGTCGCACTTTTCGCTAGACGGAACCACGTGAAAAACCCTACCCGACATCATCTAGGGTTATTATTTTGGGGGAATCTTCCTACTAGATATCCATTGACACGTTTTCTATCGGGGACCTCTTTCCGAACAGAGATCCTTTTTCCACCATAGGGATTCTTACGTCATCGGTTTTGAAGCCTTCCTCGCCCATTTTAAATTAGTTAGTCAATAAGCTTTCGCACTAAGGGAGATCTCCTAGTTTGGCTGGCTTAAATTTTGGTTGTTAGCCGTTAGTAGATGTAATACAATGTATTGATGTTAATTTTAGCAATTATTTACCCACACAGAAAATCTATTGTTTGTATGTATTTTTGTTTTTTTTTCTTGGGGTTTTGGGCTAAAGAGTGCCTTTCAACACCAAGGCATCTTCCAGTTTTGGCGGCCCTAAAAAATACCCCCCAACTCTTCGGTGTACCTGAGCATAGGGCCTAATTTGCCAACGCTAAACCACGGCTTTAGCCTCAGTAACCCCCTATTTTTTTTAAATCATCCATTGCGTCAATTGAGAAAAATAACTTTAGCTTAAAATTGAAAAGTGATTTTAATTAAAAAAAAGAGCGTGGCAGTGCGATCAGAACAAATCAATTTCATGCTATTTTTTAAAAAAATACTGGATACATTATCCGTATCTAGGTTCATGGAGGGTCTGAAAAACAACTGTAAATCATGTGATATTCACCAAAGGACATACCTAATTAAAATAAAATACCTTCCATTCTTTCGTAATTTTTTAGAACATCGTCATTTCTTTTAGTGCTAATATGATCTAGCTTGCGGACCCATGTTCATATGGAAATTTCGTCTTCAAATTGACCAGGGATACGATGGTTAATGTTTGTCTACATACTTTATTAACACCCTGTATATGGAGCCAATCACATACTATGAGTTAAAATTTTTCATTTTGCTACCATAAAACGTCAAATGAATGAATTTTGAGAAAGCTGTGAAAACCTACTAGAAAAAGCATTTAATAGAATTACTGAATTTTTGAAAATAAAATTTTAGCCTTGTGGTTATAGTCTACATTTGCACATCTGTATTATTATATGCAGAACAGAGTATGTCACATCTCTGTGACCTGATCCTCACTTTTGCCAGGTAACTTAAGAATATGTGCTGCCGATAAGGAATTGTCCATTAATGAAAAACTTCTCTGAAGTAACAAATAAAACAGTTTGATTGGTTGGGCTTTTCAAATTAACCCACCACCCACACGTACGAGTCGAAATGTGAAATGATTATACGTTAAATTCCAGCAGTCCGCTCCATTTTTTCATATATCGGCTACGCGATGTCCAGAATGGTGCGTGTTGTACACGTTCAATCATTCCAAAATCACGACGTTCCATCATCAATGTGATTCATCAACCCTCACATTTCGAACCCCTTGTTTGCCACTAACTTAAATGAAATAGGTATGTTTGGACAGTTTGCTACTTTGTTGGTTTTACGATGGACCCCCTCTTTCCCATATTATTGTTGATTTAAGATGTTTTGGGGTGTCATGCACCAATGGGTGTCTATCATTTTTCGTTGCATATAAATTCTGCGTATACAGAGGTAGTTAGGGTAACTGGGAAACCTTCATTATATTGTAAAGTTTTATGGGTTCTTTTGCGTGTGGATTAAAAACACTCGATTCCACAAGGAGAAATGCACTGATTTATTTAAAACACACACAACTAACTAGCTAGAACATTTATGTACGAGCCCCTTCCCACTTCAGTTGGCCCAACTATTGAAATCTTGTTTTTTTCTTATCAAACACAAATAATAAAAATGTAGCACGGTGTTATAGGTTTAAAATATTAACAATGAATATTTTGATAATACAGGTATATAGTAGAAAACACCAACTTTATCACTCCCTAATAAAATTTGCAGCATAAAAATAACACATGTTGCAATTACAGCATTATCAACCTATTTGCATTTCAATGCAAAATAAGTCTATAACGCATAGGTGGCTGTGAAAAATAAAAGCCATGACAATTGTTTTTATTAATCACAGCTGTCAGAATACGTTTAAAATAGTTTTGGTAGTTTAGTGAGAAAATTCGGTTACTGATGATTAATTTTTAATTCTGGGAAATCAAACTCAGAATTGCAACTTTGTTAGATTTACCGCGGTACAGTGCGAGAAATATTGTTAGAAGATAAAAGGGGAACTGGTTCAGTTAATATTAAGCCACGATATGTGGAAAAAAGTAATATCACAAATGCCGACCGAAGAGCATTAAGAAGAATAATCGTGAAAACAGGCGTGCCTATTATTTACAATTAAGTGCTCTGTGGAGTGACGCTGTTGGAAGGAGAATTTCGAGGTCCACACTCATAGACAGGCCCACAAACTGGGATTTAGCACTTGCAAGGTAAGTTTCCTTATAAAAAAGTGAAGTAAAATTCTAAAGTTGCACAACTTGTTTATAGGCCAAAGGAAAGCCACTATTAACTCCACTGCAAAAGAAAAATCGGCTTAGATGGGCTAAAAAACATAGACAATGGACACCTCAACAATGGTGTGCAATACAATGGAGTGATGAGGCCCGATTCGAAGTTTGTGTTGGTGACAGTCGCAGTAGAGTTATTCGCAAAAAAAGCATTCCATGTTGACTGTCTGAAGAGAAAAGTGAAATTCCCAGCATCCATTATGGTCTGGGGCAGTATGTCATCAAAAGGAGTAGGAAAATTTCATTTTATTGATGGAAATGTGGATACGAACAAATGTTTGGCAATTTTAGAAGAATCGCTTTTACCAGTGATGGAAGAATGTTTGACATCCGGCCAAGATTTTGTGATTTAGCAAGATGGTGCAGCGTGCCATACCTCATAAAGGCTATAAAATGGATGGAAGAAAATAATGTACCACTTTTGAAATGGGTTTCTAGCAGTCCAGATCTGTCACCTATTGAAACTTTGTGGCACGCGATGAAAAAGGTTCTACGACAATATCCTGCTGGTACAATCACCGAACTGAGACAAAAGCTTCAAGAAATATGGGATTGTTTTACACCAAATTTTTGCCAAAACTTGGTTAACACTATGCCGTAATAAAAAATAAAGGTGATGTTACCCAATGGTAATCTTTCAATTGTTGCTTTGTTAACTTCGCGCATTTATTCGCACATTGTTTATTTGTTCAGATGTTCTATTAGTTATGGATGTAAGTGATTTCAAATATGATTTTTTTATGACTAGAGTGTATCTCAAATGTTTTTGAGAAAATAAATTGTTTTAGAAGTAAATAGTTTCGTCATGTTAGTTTATAAAGCATATTTTGGTACAAATCTTGAGGTGGGCCAACTGTAGTGGGAAAGGGCTCGTATACCACTATTTATGTCTGACTACATATTTACGAACTATTGTGTCTACTCTGCTTCCCTCTCCCGGCCGTCGACTTATACAGTGCTTTTCTTTAATGTCCCCCTACCCTTCGATTTTTTGAACGGATCAATTCAAGAAACTAAAACTTCAGGTAATGAAATTGATGCGTGGATACCATATTTTAGAGTAAATGTCGAAATGGCCGCTGGGCGCCAAAAAATTATATTAAAACGGGGGTCTTGTGGCACAGCATTTTGAAGCTCCTGACGAGCACTTTGTAACCCTAGAACATAAAGTCAATACCTTCACCTACTACAAAATGGTGGTACATTTATTAGTTACTTGAACACAGACCCACTAACATGCATATCTCTACAAATAATTGTAATTCCCTTCCGTATCCACAGTAACAGCGATAAAAACTTGTTTGTTATTTTTTGTCGACAGTGACAAGAATATCAATATGAAAACAAACATCATTCTACAGTTAAAATATACTTATTTAGTTTTCGGTTTTAGTGCTACGAGTAGATACTGTTTGAACTATTTTTAAAATGGTCAATTCTTGTCCATTGGAAGAAAAAATCGAAGCGATTTTTATTTATGGTGCGACACGCAACTTTTACGAGACCGAAAGGATGTTGAATGATCGTTTCCCGAATCGTCCTATGTGTAGAAAATATTTAAGGGAACTTTTATCTAAATTTACAACTACTGGTAGTGTAAACAACAAAAAGCCCCCAGGCCATCCGACCATCCCGGGAGAGAAGCAAGTTCAAATAATTGGTGACATCATAGTAAATCCCCAACAGTCTTCTTCCTCCGTCGCGAATGCAAGTGAGGTTCGTCCTTCTACTGTATGGAGACTTTCGAAAAAGAATAAGTATCACCCATACAAAATTCAAATGGTACATCAGCTAACTGAAGATGACCCTGATTGAAGAACAGAATTCTGCGAGAATATTTTTTTTAGTGATGAATGTACATTTTTTCTCAACGGTAATGTGCATAGACAAAATTGTCGTTATTGGAGTGACACCAATCTCACGCCTACCGGAAGCTAATACTCAATATCCACAAAAAATTAACGTTTGGGCTGGGATATTGGGAAATCATATTATGGGGCGTCTGTCTATTCATCGAACAAACTTCACCGGGGAACTGTATTTGGATATGTTGGAAAATACTATTGAGCCTCTAATCATCGAAATCGTCGAAGCGAGTCCTAATGAATTCGATACTGATATTGAATTCCAGTAAGATGGTGCTCCACCACACTACTACAGACAAGTTAGGAATTATCCCTCCCCATCTTATCTCACACATGTTCCATCGGATCGGAGTACGGAATGGCTACGGCAAAAAATTAACGCCTGTTTCTTTAAGAACGTCCATAGTATGACGAGAAATATGGGGATGGCCCTCGGCAGTAAGGTGGTTTGTAGGACATCGTCAACATAACGCGCAGCAAGCATATTGCTTTGAATAAAGAGAAGGGCTGATCGGCTACCATAGGCAATAGCACTCAAACCATGATTCAAACAGTCCTGTGTACATGCGTCTCAGCAGCAAGACCAATATCACCCCGTTCCCCACGGCGGCCTCTTCTGCCACCCAATGTTGCCGTTCTCTGCTCCAGTTCAAATGTTGACGACAGTGGCCCGCAGTCAGAGGAAGCACTAACCGTGGAGGGTTTAACCCTTCGGCGGTCGCGCTGCGGTACTCCGTGCCGCGTTTTTTTAATTTATTCTAGTTACTGAATAATTTTTCGAAGCACGCCACTGTCTCGCGAGGTATGCTTCGTTGGCTATATTTTGCAACGTGTACCTACGGGAACGGAGATGGAAATGCTTCCTTTTAGTGTAAATCGAGACTTTGAGTGAGAAGGCGCAGTTTGCGGTACTCCGTGCCGCCACACGACCGATCATGTAAGTATTTATGGTTATTAGGTTGATATAGATATCGCTAAAATATATTACAAAACCATTATAGCTCATTATTATTGTTATTTTTTTCCGAATTGGTGTGTTTTATCAACCTGGGATTGTGGAATAATATATAATCTTGATACTTTAGGGATAAAAAGAGACCACGCACTGAACGAGAGCTGCAAGAGATCGTCGGACAATTTCTCTGATTCGATGAGGATATAGTAGACTTTGCAGATGAAAGCGCAGTACAATGTTTACGAACAGCGAATCTGAGCAATCTGCCGTGAGGACTCGGACTATACACACGAATTGGGAGAATCAAGGAGATGCGTTCTTTTACATTGAAAAGGACGAAGAGAATGTTTGGAAAAGCACTCCTGTGAGTTTTACCAGTAAAACTAGGTCTAAAAATACAAAAAGCCGGCAAAATACGGTATAAAAATATATGCTTTGTGTGATAGTCGCACCTATTATACTTGGAATCTTGAGATTTATTGTGGGCAACAACGAGATGGTCCCTTTCAGACAAGTAATAAGCCATTCGATATAGTTCGAAGGTTGATAGACCCTTTAAAAAATTCCAAGAGAAACCTGACAACAGATAATTATTATACGAGTATCCCCTAGCAGATTATCTTTTGCAAAGTGGCCTTACGTTAATAGGTACAATAAGAAAAATAAAAAGGAATTACCCCCGAATTCCTTCCGAATAAAGCACGAATTGTTGGTTCTTCATTATTCGGATTTCAGGACGAAATTAATTTGGTATCTTACGTACCCAAAAAGATTAGGGCTGTGATAATTCTTTCTTCTGTTGATGACAAAGGAGAGGTTGACGAGGCAAACAAAATAAGCCAACCATCATTTTGGATTATAACAGGACGAAGAGTGGTGTCGATACTGTCGATCAAAAATGTGCCTCTTATACAACCCAGAGAACCACTAGACGATGGCCCCTTGCAATATTTTTCCGCATTCCTTGATATTACTGGGATAAACGCTGAAATTGAATTCAATAATACTAAACCTACAGAAGAGTCTCCTAGAAGACGAAAATTCTTAAACGAATTAGCGTGTCTCTAACGGAACATCATATGGCGGAACGAGCGAAAATAATTGCACTTCCAAAAGACATTATAGAATTTCTTTCGCGATACCAAACTACTGTTGATGAGGTACCTGCAATAAAGCAAAATGGTAGTGGACGTTGTCATGTTTCTAGTGCGCATAAAAATAATAAAACTACTGTTAGATGTGACTCATGTTATCAGTTTGTATGTAAAAGCCATTGCAAAAAAACAGTTCAATGTGATACTTGTTTGTATACCCCGATGGAGGAAGACTGATTTATTTTAGGATTAAGTCTCTTGGTGGCTACGTTACCATTTTCACTTTAAAAATTCAGTGTTTATCTTTTATGTTCGCTATAGATAATGTTTTAGTTTTGAATGTTTAAATAAATAAGAGCGCAATATTATAAATAAACTGATTTTTTAAATGTCTATTCTGTTCAATTACAAACTTATTAGTCAATGTTTCTCTATAATAATACAAAATAAGTCATTGTCCAGATGCGGCACTCAGTGCCGCGATGCGACCGCTCATGTAATTTTAGATTGCGCGACTGAAGCCGGTTAAAAAAGTCCTAAGGGGCGAATGCGACAATAGTGTTCAAGTATAGTAACAAGTATACTTTCTTCTCCAAACCATTGGTCAACGATCTGATGCGTAGTAGTAAACGGTCTCGTAGGGCTAGTCGTCTGAAGCGAATAATTTGACGCTCTGACAAGGTGGCCTTCTTCGTGTTCTTCTGCCTTCTTGTATCCACACACGACACACACGCATTACCGTCATTGCAGTACAATTATCACGCGGCCATTTCGCGATAGGACAAACCAACATCTCGATAGGCAAAACTCTACCGCTTTAAAGTCGCTCACATGGTACATTTGGTTATGCTTAACTCTAGTAAATGAAAGGCCAATAATATCTGTACTACTCAGCTCTCAGCAACTGATTCCTTCACAGAACTAGGAGATGACATCTTAACAAAAACAAGATAAAACGTTGACATTGTTGCAACAGCATGCTTTAGGAATATTCATCATGTTGCCAAACAACAAGTTGAAGAGATTATTTTTTCTGGTGTAACACTTCTAACGTCACTGAGTATATACCTATGGTCAAATATGGCGGGCGCTAAAGATACTTTGCTGCCCTAAGTTATAGAGAAGCGCGGTGGCTGAAAAGTGGTTCTTAGCATCTGCAAAACCTTCTCATAAAGTATTCACATCGTAGATGAAAGCCGTTTTTGTTTTCTTTCTCATATTCTCATTTGATGTGTCTGGTTCTAACTGTGGTGTACCATTAATTTTCAACAAATAGCTGGATAGTCTGGCAAGTACGCGCGATATCGTGTCTCCGGGACTTTTGCAACGAGTCGTGTGGAGGCCGTTAATCTATTAACTGTCAAAAGTTAAATTATACCTCCGGACGTGTCCTTTAGCAACTTCTCAAGGGGATTTAAAGTGCGCCCGTTCCGAGTTTTCTGGCTCTGCGATTGAGCGCTTGAACCGGGGATTTCAACTTCTGATAATATTGGAAAATTCTGGGCTATTATGATTTTCACCACAGTGTCGAAAGGGTCAAAATATCGCGGAGTTGGGTATGTAAAATGTAGCGTGCAAGCCTATTTTTTGTTCCTCGGTTGAAGTTAGCTACACGCAACTTAGATTGAAACTGCTTAGACTTATACTATGAATAATTATAAAAAGCAATTCCGTTATTTATACAGGGTGTAAACATTAAGATAGTCATTATTTAAATGGGTGATAGAGGGGGTTAAAAGGAGCAAAAACATGGGGGGTCAAAACGGAATTTTTTTAGAGAAAAGCGACTTTAAAGTAAAATTAAATCTGAC